CCCTGTGCTAGTCCATCCAACACTACCCCCCCTCCCCCTAGACTGACAATACTGCTGTCCAAAGGTGCCTCCTGTGCTCCTTCATCCAGAGTAGGGGCACTCTAATACAGGAAGAGTGTTACTGGCCAGATCACAGGTGAAAACAGAGGGGGAAAAAGAAAACTAATGCACCTACCACATCTAAGGATCGGTAAGCTGCAATATATTACATTTTGATTTGGGGTTTAATACAGCTTTAAAGTGAATCTTCACTCAATTTTACATCTTCATTGCATTGCATCTTTTTTAGGGAGATACCCTTTTCTTCGGAGTGCATCCCATGCTTCTCCTTTAGTAAGTATGACACCCCCCCCCTCCCCCCAACCTGAAGCATCTTGGGATACCTACATCAAGCATACCAGGAGGCTTCAGGGAACTATGTAGAACACAATGCATGTGTGCAATCATCAGGGCCGGCTGTAGGACCCAGGCAGGGGCGGACTGAAAACTCATGGGGCCCCCGGGCAATAGGGGATCATGGGATCCCTGTGTCAAAAAAGCCTATGAAAAAGGTACCAGGGGCATCTCATGGGGCCCCCTACTGACCCCGGGCCCTCGGGCAGTGCCCGAGTTTCCAAATGGTCAGTCCACCCCTGGACCCAGGAGAGACAGCCGAACTTCCAACAACATCAGCAAAGAGATGCCTGCATAGGGCCCGACGTTTGTTGGCTTTTAACCGATAACAGGAGGACAACACTGAAATCTCTGACTGGGTGAGTATGTTACTTCAGCTCAACCCAGAGAAAGGTAAGTGGGGTAATATCAAAATTAACCCTAAAGAGAGTAAAGTTCCTTTTTTAGGATAACCAAGTAATACATAAATTGTTTTTTTTTCCAAGATAAAATATTTTCTTTTGGTAATATTGTTATGCAAAAATCATTTAATTTTCTATGCAGTCTACAGGTAAACATGTAAAAAAAAAAGCAAAACAAAAAAAAAAACTATTTTTGTTCAATTTTGACCACTGTTAATTTAGCAAAAAATTATGAAATTATGTGTTACTTTAAATAAAAAGCATACTTTTTTTTCAATATTTTATCCCATTTATAATGTAGAATTATTAATATTAAAATCTGTGTTTAAGTGCCACATCCCTAATATTGTAAATATATACCAAAAAAAAAAGACCTGAAAATGGGGAATTTTGAGGCACAACAGAAGCATAAAAATCTTATTAGCCCAGGTTCACACTGATGCGGTGCAGAATTTGCAGCGTTTTCTGTGCGAATTCCGCACCGCATCACAATCGCAGCCCGTTCATGTGAACCGCTGCGGGTGTGTATGTTAAGTTAACAACACCTCAAAATTGGTTTGCAAAACACAGTGCGATGTGCAGAATCGGATCGCATAGGTGTGAATACCCATGCGATTCGATTCTATTGAAGACCAAAAAAAGGATCCTGCACCTTTTTGGTGCGGATGCAGTACGATTTGAGCCATACAAAATGTATGGCTCCAGTCGCACCGCATAGAATTTGCATGTGATTTGCACAGGAATGCGGTGCGGTTCTTGTGCGAATCACATGTGATATGCCGCACCGCAGAAGTGTGAACCTGGGCTTAAAGCCAAAAGCATCGTCATGACATTCAAGGATATAGCATTCTCAAAGGAAAGTTTAACAATGGCAGCCTCTATTATTCTCCTATAAACAAGTCCCTTTAGACCTCATGCATACTCAGGCTTTTGTAAACGCTTTTTTCCAAGCAGCAGAAAAGCAGCTTCGAATACCCGCCTAAGCCGCATTTTTTGGCAAATACATTTAGGCATGTTTAGGCGCATTAAGCACTTGGGCATTTATTCATTTCACTGGCAAGAATACATTGAAATTAAAAAGGCGCTTAATTGCTAAATGCGCCTAGCACTTAGGCGTGTTTAGCCATGTTTATTTGCTTTTACATGTGTTTAGTTGATTTTTGGCATTTCAACCAAAACCTCCTCTCTTGAATGCATAAGTGATTTTTTTAACTGCCTCTATACTCCTGTAAATGCTGATGTGTGCATGGACAGATAGGCTTACATAGAGGGGCGTTTAAAGGCAGAAAAAAAATGTAAACGCCTTTAAAACAGGTATTTTTGAGCTCAAATGTGCATGAGGCCTTAACGTGTTCAGTCAAAACTAGACAAAACTAGAAATTTTTGTTTCAGATAAATCAGTTCATTCAAGAATTTGTTAGTCATATTCGTTACTTTGAACCAGTTCGTTTCGGGATTTGATTTGTATCTTTGGCATTTGTTTCATATATTTGTTGGTCTGGGTGAATTAAAAAAATTCTGTAGTTTTTTTGGAAGATTGCTATTTATTCTATATATTCGGGTGCATTCAAACTGAAAAGAATCCATATTTTTGGAAGCTATCCGAACCCACCAAGAGAAGCCAATCAGTGGCATCCTTAGGTGGGCGTACTGGGTGACACCTATCTCACGGGGTGACACCAAAAAGTTTTACAGCAAGCCGACGATCCCCGCAAGATGCATCGCATCCAGGGGCGGACTGACCATTTGGAAACTCGGGCACTGCCTGAGGGCCCGGGGTCAGTAGGGGGCCCCATGAGATGCCCCTGGTACCTTTTTCATAGGCTTTTTTTGAGTTTGGGCAAGGACACAGGGGCCCCATGAACCCCTATTGCCCGGAGGCCCCATGAGTTGTCAGTCCGCCCCTGATCGCATCTGCAGTAACATGTGGTGTCACCCCTCCAGAGGTGGGTGGTCCCTGTTGTACACACACAGCCTGGTTCTTCCCCTCCCTGTGTCCCTGTCATACCTGCCGGATTGGTGTTGCAAGATCAGTTAACCCAGTATAAGTTGCAAGCTGACAATCCCCGCAATCGGGGACACAGAGAGGGGAAGAGCCAAGCTGTGTGTGCACGACAGGTACCGGCCACCTCTCGGGATAGGTGACACCAAGTGTTACCGCACCGGGTGACACCAACCCTAGGGACGCCCCTGTGGACAATATCAACTGGCGTCATGTGCATCCGAATTAACAAATAGAACAAAATTCGGATCCATTCATTATCTGAATTATCAAACAAATTTTAAAATTTAATTAATTTCCCCATGGGCCTGAACTACTATTACATCAGGTGACATCATCCAAATGGAACGAATGAAACAAATGCATAATTATAATGTTTTGTCCTTTTAGGAATTCATTTCGTATCTTCGGCATTCGTTTCGTACATTCGTTGGTTGGTTCAGGTGGATGTGAAAAATTTTTGCAGTTTTTTTTCAGAAGATTGCTATATATTTCTGGTGGATTCGATATTCATATATCAAAACTATTCAGAAAGATTCAATATGTTCGGACGCAATGAAATAAATAATAAAAAAAATTTGGCTCCCGCAAATTTTTCAAACCTAAGAATTGCATTAGCCTGTTCAACTGAACTGACTGTGACAATTACAAATTCAATTTAGATCACAAATTTACTTGAATCCAAATTATCGAAGTAATTTGAAAATTAAGTTCATTTCCCTATGGTGAGGAAGGAGAGTTCAAACTTGACACTTCAGCGCTCAGAAATTAATAGAAACACCCATCGCATAAACCAAATATCACATGTTCTTAACACCAGGACTGGAAAGAAATGGCGGCGCAGTCCTCCTCAGATTGGGGAAATCCAACAGTAAACAAAACATAAAAACAAAGAGGGTGCAAATGCCTAATCCTTGACACTTTTTTCCAAAATGTAAGAGACAAAAAATATACCCACACATCTAGTGAGCTAAAGACACATAGATGCATAAAAGCACACAATATAAGAGTCCACTCTCCACCTCTGCCTGGAAACAGGATGAAAAAAAAGCAACTGATGTGTTTCGGGAACCCAATCCCCTTCCTCAGATCTGTCTCCTCGAAACACGTCAGTCAGTTTTGTCATCCTGTCTCTAGGCAGAGGTAGAGAACGGACTCTTATATTGTGTGCTTTATGCATCATCATGCCTTTAGCTCACTAGACTTGTGAGTATATTTTATGTCTCTTACATTTTGGAATAAAGTGTCAAGGATAATGCGCTAGGTATTTGAGCCCCTTTGTTTTTAGGTTACATTTCCCAAACTAATATCGCATCATTTGACATCATCTGAATGGAACAAATACATTCTTTAATTTCATTATAACTTTTTAGGGATTCCTTGGCATTCGTTCCTATGTCCATTCAGAGATTCGTATACATCCGAATCTCTGAAAATCGCATTTTCATCTGAAAATCGATCGGTGAAAAACGGTTTCATTTTGTTTTGGATGAAGCGGGGAAAGGTTAGAACATCTTTCTGGTTTATCTATCCAGAGCTCCATTAGAGGGTTTTCACTTCATTTTCTGTGCAGCTTACAACACTTTCACCAGATATTCTACAAAACGAAATCACAGGCGTAAAATTGCAGTAAAAACCAAGTAAGGTCTTTCACCCTTCTCCCCACTTTATACAAAACTAAAATAAAAATAATTGACTGCTTATTTGCTTTAATTTTAGACAACCCTCCTGTCTTGTACCCTATTGCAATCTATGGGCCGTAGATTTATTTGAGGAGTTACATAGCAAAGAACTACTGGCAAGAGGCTGCAGTCCCAAGCAGAAGCCCTGTTTATTATGGCAAATTTAAATGTAGAGTATGTGAATGGAGAGGACTTTGACTGCAGCTTCAATTTCTGCATTTCCTAGACAGCAGCTCACCAATTTAATTCACTTCACTTCAACGTGCTTGAAGTTTTTTCTTTTTCAAACTGCCATTTATCTAGTTCTTCTACAGCAAGAAACATTTAGTGGAAATTTCCTCCCGATAAAATATAATTTTGTTCTTTGCTGTCCTCATAAAACCTTGTTTTCCTCCGATCTTTTTCATGACTGTCCTTGTATTGGCAATTGGCAGCAAATTATTTGATTGTTATTTATAAAACAATTCCAATTCAATTTACTGAAAACCACCTCTATATTCTCCCCTTTAACTATAGTCTTACCATTGTTGTCAGAATATATTTGTAGTGGGCAGACGTCATACCAAGCTCAGAGGCCTGCGGGAGAAGGAACAAAAAATAGGTGAGTGGAAAAAAATCAGAGAAAATAAGAGTTAGAACAACAGAAATGGGAAGTTTGCTTTATTATTATTATTATTATACAGTATTTATATAGCACCAAAGGGTTTGCTCAGCGCTGTACAAAAGCAGGGGGACAAGACATGAGACAAGACAGAGACAGTGCGATACACGAAGGGTTCGAGGGCCCTGCTCTTTTGAGCTTACAATCTAGGAGGAGAGGGGAAAGTGGTACAGGAGGAAGTGGCTGTGGGGGATGAGGTGGTGGGAGGAGTGGAGGTCAGATGTTAGGTGAGGGAGGGGTAGGCCTCCCTGAAGAGGTGGGTCTTCAGGGTGCGCCTGAAGGTGGTGAGGGTGGGTGACAGTCTGATGGATTGGGGTAGGGAATTCCAGAGGATGGGGGAGGTCCTGGATAAGTCTTGCAGTCGGGCGTGGGAGGAGGAAATCAGGGAGCTAGAGAGTAGGAGGTCCTGAGAGGAGCGAAGGGCACGGGTAGGGTAGTATTTGGGTATCAGGTCGGTTAAGTAGGTTGGGGCAGCAATCACAATACGGCTGTAATTTCTCTAGTATTTTGGTGAATGAATGCTAACCTCTAATTGGCTGCTAGATGTAACCTTTCAATAGATCAGTCCCAGAGAAAGGAGGATCCCAGAGGAAGAATGCTACGAATTCTGACTCAGCTACTGACCTTTTTAAGAATGAGGTGGGACACTGTTGCATTGGCATCAATAATGATGGTGGATACTTTGTCATCACGAATTTCCTTTAATAACGGCGTTGGATCATTGGTGTCATCCAACATTCGGACAGACAAGGTGTCTTTTGATATTAGGAATTGGCGGACCAGTTCCTCTAGCCGGAGTAAACCTGAAGAAAGAAAAGACGACAAGGCTATAGATAGCATTGATAATATGTTATTAGAAAGGATGTTGTTAAAAGGGAACTCTACTGGACTATATTTGTTTCTAAACCACTAAACAGAACTAAGCCCCTACATGTCTACACGTTCTCTAGTGTTGGCTACATGGTATCTCTCAAGGCAAATTTCCTGATGGTGACAATAGTTGACAAATATGTGTTCAAAAAAATATTTGTAGTCCCCATTGGAAGCCCATGGGATAGGGTGACAACCCAGTAGCACAGTTGGAAGGCAGGGACAATGTGTCACCCTACAACAGAAAGTCACTGAACAATACCCTTAATGGCAGGATCGCCAGGTATTATTTTAGACCCTATACGCTTATGTCTCCTGGCCCTTTAAGAGCTTCTAGATGCCGGGAGGCACAGTCAAGCATTCAGGTCATGTGGCTGCTGTGATTGGCTGTCCTAGCAGTCACATGATCAGAAAGCTCCTGATTATTATCAAGGTATTATTTTAATGAAACTTTTTATTTTGAAGTGGTTGGAAACCTCAGACATGAAATATTAACAAAGCATATCCCTTTGTAGTGTGGACTTGTTTCAGTCTAGAGCACTAACTGTCTTCTGACTCATCCTTCTATCAGCATGAATCACTTTTGACAAATGTTTCTCACACCAAAACAAAAAGATGACCGGTAGATATTTGCACGTCGGAAATCTTCATTTTGTTTCAGATGCATTCATTTATTGAAGAATTTTGTTCGTTATGCTGAACCAATTCATTTTTGGGATTTAACCAATTCAATACCGGGCAATTTTACACCTTCCTGCAAAGGCCAGTTTTCAGGTTTCAGCGCTCTCACACTTTGAATGACAATTGCGCGGTCATACAACACTGTACCCAAACTAAAATTTTATCATTTTCTTCACACAACTAGAGCTTTCTTTTGGTGGTATTTCTTTGTTTCTGTTATAAAAGTTTGCAAATAAATAATTGTTCTTCATAAATTTAGGCCGAGATGTATTCTGCTACATGTCTTTGGTGAAAATAACCCAAATTAGGATGTATTTTTTAGTTTGTAGGAAAGTTATAGAGTTCACAAACTATGGTATATATCTGAATATTGATCAATCCTGAAGTACTGACAGCCAATCTAATTTCTTGAGGTCCAAGAATGTCAGAACAGTACAGATATCCCCAAATGACCCCTTTTTGCAAAGTAGACAGTCTGACGTACTTCATCAGAGGAATGGCGAGTTTTTGAAGTTGTATTTTTTTTGTCATAATTTTTCGGAAAATGAAAAAATTAAAGAAATTAGTTTCACTATTTGTTTTTACATACTGTCACCAGTGCAGTACAGCATCATCATATAACTGCATGGCGGTGATCAGGGACACTGGTGACAGTATGAAAAAAAAAATTATATATATATTTTTTTTTTTAAAAAAAAATTTATTATTTCTTATTACATTTTTTTTTTTCTTTTTTTAAGATTTTTTTTCATATTTCACTATGACCAAAGTAGTACAATGTTACCATAGTAACATTGTACTACTTTGGGGAAGTGATCAGTATTTTTTTTTTTTTTTTTTACACAATTTGCTTATAGCAAAGAATTACTTTGCTATAAGCAAGCATTTACCTGAATGACATCGATTCATTCAGGGTTTTTTTGGGGTTTTTTTTTGTGCTTAGCTGTGATTTGGCCACAGCTAATCACATGACATGTACATGTGATTAGCTGTGACCATTCACAGCTAGGCAGTAGTATACAATGGATGGCATGAATGAAGCCATCCATTTTATACAACTGTCATGTGACCTGCTGTGATTGGTCACAGCAGGTCACATGGTACCGGCAACGGGGGCTGATATTCAGATCTGTCATCGGCCGTGTCCGAGGTACACGGCCGGTGACAGATCGCGCTGCTGCGCCGCTCTGCAGGAGCGCAATCTGCGCATGTGCGGGAGGATGCCATATGGAGTCCACCCGGAATGCTGATGACATTTGCCGCCCGCCATTCGGTCATAGGGCAGGCAGCAAATGGTTAATTTGTATCTTTGGCATTTGTTGCATATATTTGTTGGTCCGGGTGAATTCAAAAAATGTTGTAGTTTTTTTGGAAGATTGCTATTTATTTTATATATTCGGGTGGATTCAAATCAAAAAGATTCCATCTTTTTGGATGCTAGTTCAACCCACCAAGAGAAATGGCATGAGCTGATTGGACAATATCAACTGGCGTCATGTGCATCCAAATTACGACTGGAACGAGATTCGAATCCATTCATTATCGAAATCTGAGTTATTGAACAAATTTGACAATTGAATCAATTTCTCCACACTACTATCATATCATGTGATGGCATCCGAATGAGACATGAAACAAATGCATTAGTTAATTTTGTTATTACTTGTTTTTGGTTTCTTTGACATTCATTACTATGTCCATTCTGAGATTGGTATACATCCGAATCCAAAATGAAATTTCCAACCAAAAAATAATCGTACCCAAATGAAACGCACATGTTTATTGATAAGGGAGGGATCTCCAGCACACACAGCCTGTGACAGCCTCGGTTGTGTAGGGGGGGGGGGTGTCCCTAACCTCCAATCAGCTCTCACTGAACTCTGCAGAGTGTGAATTCAGTGAAGAGTGTAAATTCAGCTCCCCACCCCCTTTTTTGAACTCTCAGACACGCTTTATAGATTCAGCACTTTTAATGGATGTAGTGAAGAGAAGACGCAGATAAACAGGTACAACTTATGTAGGAGAATTTCTTCATCTCTGTGTATCACCTGAGGTCAGTCACTTCATTGGGTATATGTAAGGGTTTACAACCACTTTAATAAAAAAAAAATAGAAAATAACATTTGCAATGACATTAAAGGCCCATTCACATCAGATGCGGCGAGGCTGGATTAGCAAATATTTCCATCATAGCGCCAATGCATAGACAAGGCAATACGCGTTGCAGCAGTGTGCACTGAAAAGTACTGTATGTATTACTTTTTTAGCAAAGCAAGTTGAGATGTGAGCCACAACATCGCCGCGGTACAAAAACTGTTGAAATGCCACTGGTGGCATTTCAATAAAGTTTTGTGATAAAAGTAAAGCGGACAGGCACACTGGCGCTGTGTCACATAGCGCAAACCAGCGGTGTGCCACATAGTGCAGCTCGCTGGTATTAATAGTGCAAAAAACTCTAAAGGTTATTTGAGATTTTGGTAATTGGGTTTACGTTTACTTTAATTGCCCTGGCAGTTCTAGTCTCTTTCTTATAGACAGACTAATGAGCCATTTTCAACCAGGGTGCCATGGAATGCTAAGGTTCCTCCAGGGGTTGCTAGGGGTTCCTTGAGCTGTGACTGATTGACTGCCCCTTTGATGGTGCCTCCATAGTTCAAAAGTCAATGGCATTTGGCAGAACACGCTGCATGACACCAATTGTCTCTTTAGTGGTCTGTAAATGTGACATTCTTACCACCACCCTAAGCGTGTTGTTTTTTCCCAATATCTTCCGTCACGGCCATTTTCCCCAATAACCACCAATGTCAAGGGCATTTTTCCCTATAACCACCAATTTCAAGGGCGTTTCCCCTCCAAAACCACCAATGTCGGAGGCATATTCCCAATAACCACCAATGTCAAGGGCAGTTTTTCCCAGCAACCACCAATGTCAAGGGCATTTTTCTCAAAAACCATCAATGTCAAGGGCATTTTTCCCAATAACCAGCAATGTCAAGGGCTTTTTCCCCATAACCACCAATTTCAAGGGTATTTCCTCCCCAAAATCACCAATGTTAGGGGCATTGTTCCCAAAAACCACCAATGTCATGGCAGTTTTCCCAACAACCACCAATGTCAAGGGCATTTGTCCCCCAAAACCACCAATGTCGGGGGCATATTCCCAATAACCACCAATGTCAAGGGCAATTTTCCCAACAAGCACCAATGCCAAGGGTATTTTTTCTCAATAACCACCAATGCCAAGGGCATTTTCCCCAATAACCACCGATGTCAAGGGCATTTTTCCCAATAACCACCAATGTCAAGGGCATTTTCCCAATAACCACCAATGTCAAGGGCATTTTTCTCAATAACCATCAACGTCAAGGGCATTTTTCCTAATAACTAGCAATGTCAAGGGCATTTCCCCCCCAAAACCACCAATGTCAGGGGCATTGTTCCCAATAACCACCAATGTCAAGGGCAGTTTTCCCAACAACCACCAATGTCAAGGGCATTTGTCCCCAATCCCCACCAATGTAAGGGTCATTTTTGCAAATAATCACTAATGTAAGGAGCATTTTTCACAATCCCCACCAATGTAAGGCGCATTTTTGTTAATACCACCAATGCAAGGGGTATTTTTTCCCACTGCTTAACAATATAAGGGGCATTTTTTTTCTCACTGACCACCAATATAAGGGACATTTTTCCCACTAGCCACCAATGAATTGGTTCTTGAACAGATTGCATGAGATCTGAAAATTATTTCAAGGGTTCCTCTGGGGTTAATAAGTTGAGAAAGACTGGTTTACTGCATATAATAAGGTCAGAGCTGACAATGCCTTGTGATGTGAGGGAAGCAGTACATTGCAATTATGGAAAGCAAAGCCAAATATGGCTACCTTTATGTATAATACGCTCTGTCTATATATATATATAAAGAATTGTATGCATATTACATCTATTAATATACCGTATATTGTGTATACACACTCCATATATAGTCATTACACACTACATGGAAACAAGGTTATTTAAACATGACATTGATGAATGTACAGCACATACATTAAGCAAAGTCCATGAATACATATACCTTCTTTTTCTTTAAATAAAAGCTATAGATGTGTGTTTTATTAATACACATCTGAAATGAATGGGTAGGAAAGGAGAGTGAGTAATGAAGGGAGCATAAAAGGGTGAATAGTTGACATAACAGGACAGAACAGTGTAACATCCGCATTCTATTCTAATTTTATTCTTAGCATCT